GCCATTGTTGCAAGTTTTCTTGCAACTGCTGTTGTCTCTCTTCTTGTTTCTTTTCTTTTTCCTCCAACAACTGTTGTAATCTCTCTTCTTGTTTAATTTCTCGTTCTTCTTGTTTCTTTTCTTTTCCTCCAACAACTGTTGTAATCTCTCTTTTTTATTTTGTTGTTCGAGCTGCTACTGTTGCAGGTTTTCTTGTAACTGCTGTTGTCTCTCTTCTTGTTTCTTTTCTCGTTCTGATGGTTTCTTTTGCTGTTCTTGTATTGCTGCCATTAAGTCTGCTATGCTGTAGTTTGATTTGCCGCTTCTCGTTTCCATTTTCTTTCTGCCCCACTCTCTGACACCAATTTGTTACGTCTCCGTTTGTTAATTAACTTTCCGTAACTTCGTTCCGACGAAACTTTAGCGACACAAGTCCTTATTTAATAAAACTGGTTTATTCTTTCAGAATACAACTTTACGATACACTCAACTTCAACAGTCGCGCTATTACAAACTATAATTCACTTCAACAATACGTCTCTCTCTGACTGCAGTTCAACTACTCATTACCTACACACATTATTGTCCCGTTACGTTGTCACCCTCTTATATATACCAGACAACCCTATATCTAGTAATCTCCCGACTATTCCCGAAGGTACAAGATATTTCCAGAAAGCAGGGGGCGTGACACTAGTCACGTGACCTCGCTGACGCAACACTTAGAACCACAAATATTTGGTCAAAACTAGTGGCAGAGAAATATACGTAATTTAAACAATGTTTCAATCACCAAATCTGTTAAACTTAATATGAGAAAATATAAATCCACTTACAATAACTTTAACTTCAGGCTTTAAACTTTTCACTGCCAGAGCTACTCCTGCTATCAATCCACCACCACCTATTGGAACCACCACAGCATCTAGATCAGGTACTTGGTCAATTATTTCTAACCCCATCGTTCCTTGTCCTGCTATTATGTGTGGATGGTCATAGCTGTGGAAAGTGATTTGTAATGATAAGGATGACCAAAATAATTAATAATTCCACGAGCTACCAAACAAAGTGTAGCTGAATTAATATTATTTGTTGTTGTTTTTTTGTAAGAAACTTGTGAAGAGACAGTTACTTGCTACCCATCTTGAGTTCTGGTGTTACAAATAGATACTTGGTACTCATCTTGAGTTATAGTGTTACAAAACATACCTGATACAGAGTGACTTACATCTCTGGTAAAATTATTGACAGCTTCACTAGGCTGAATTTGTTTATTCTATTGCTAAAAAACCAAAGGTATATATATATATATCACTATATTTAGTATTAAGAGCACAAAGAGAAGTTAAATTGTTTTCTGTGCAGTATATAATTTTTATAATGGTACAGTGTTTTCAACTTTTCACAAAAAAATCAACACAATATATTTATAATAATGCTCCTCAATAATAGAAGGTACTTCATCTCATGTGAAATGTAACTGTTAACATCTAACCTATATGTGTGTCATGTCACGCTTGTTATCTCGATATCCAGATAGATAGTTCGATTACTGTCTGCCTATTACGAGTTTAGTGACGGGGGTGCAAAGGGTCTAAAGTAATGACGTAGTGTGAGATCACCTAGCCTAGAGCCAAGTGCATAAAGTTTATCATGACAGTAAAATCATTGATTCAATTTTAAGCTTAAATCGTTTCTGAATTAAGCTGTTTTCTGCTATATCATCAACGTTTTTAATAAAAAAAAAAACCTCTCTAATCAATGGAGACTAAATTAATAAACAACAAACATTTTTCCAGTTTTGTTATCTATACATTTCATTTTATATTTTCAGTACATATACTAACAATAATATTAGGTTATACTTTTGTTGCTAAGCAACATGACATCAAAGCCATTATTGGAACGTAGTGTTACCAAAACGCATTGGCTTTTCTATATATTAGAAGTTGTTAATGTAACTGATTTTATCAGTAATTATTCTATGAATACGCGCCGAATTCATTTCATGAATGATCTTAATTTTGATTGGTTCACAAAGGAGTTTACCGACGATTGACTGTCTCGACTGCACTTTTCTGTCTCTTTGTTGGTCAAGCTTGATTTCGCAAAATTTATTTATTTCAGTTAGCTATGATATGTGAGGTTAGGGTATACTATGGGGTGGGGGTGGTAGTACTTGCCCGTTATTTTTGACGAGCTATACGCTAGTCTATTATGATAATACTCAGTTTTTTGTGTCCTAAAAATGTAAGTGCACCTTACTACCTAAATGCGCATGCGATGGTAACACGTCATGATATTCTAGAATGATCGGAGAACATCATGAATAATCCAGCATGTGCTAAACGCCCTCTTTTCCTATATATTAGTGCGTGAATCATTGTGAATTATAGCGTGTGTTTAAAGTGACTGTGGAAATTAAGTGTATTGCAAAGTTGAATTGAGAAAGAATAAACTAGTTTGATTTAAGAAAGGACTTGTATCTCTGAAGTTCCTCGGGAAAAACTTATACCGGGAAATTAACAAAAGAAAACACAGAGACGTAACAATACTTTAGTAGACATTTTGTACACAATCAACATATTAAAAGCTTAACAATTTTTAAAAAAGTCTAACATTAGGTCGTAGAATAATATTATAAGTGTATTTATTGATAGTGTCAAGTACAGTAAGTTTAACCCTAACTAAACTGAAGCAAAAAACGTACACAAGTTAACTTACAGTGTTAATTTATCTCTTTATCGAATATAGGCCGTACTTAACAAAGCATTAAGAAACAGATACTTAGTACTCATCTTGAATTGTAGTTACAAACAAATACTTGTTACCCATCTTGAGTTGTAGTTAGAAACAAATACTTGTTACCCATCTTGAGTTGTAGTGTTAGAAACAGATACTTGGTACTCACGTCACGAAATATGAGGAGTCACAATCCAGATAGAATAGTCCAATTACTGTCTTGCCCATTACGATTACAGTGTTAATTTATATCTTTATCGAATACAGGCCGTACTTAATAAAGCATTACAAGCTTAATTAATGTTTGGCCTAAGACACGTGGACCTTTTCACAAGTTACAGATTTCGATGTATGTGATTACAATTCTTTTGTGCTATTCTACAGTGTCTAAAAAAGTACGAAACCTTAGGCACTTCGACCAATTTTACAGAATGTGTTTAACAGCAGGATTAACTCGATCTTCTCGTGCTTTGACAGCGCCATAATCAGTCATGTATCTGAAACTAAGAAAAACTACATATTACCTATGGTTCCAGACTCTTCTGACAACCTGTAAAAATTCTGTATTTAAAAAATTAATCTTGCAGTAAACATTCTAATTTGACTGCAACTGTTTTGCGAGTTTTTGCAAGTAAAATATTAAAACGTGCCTTACCCATTCACATATACTAAACCATTTTCTTTGGAAAGTTGCATGGCATGTTCTTTGGACTGAAACAATGTAAAACAAAAGGTTAATAAACTGTCTTGGCTTGTTAGTTTAAATCCTTACTGAATATTTTATTATTATTACTTTAATGGAATTATACTTACGTAGCTTATTTTTGTTTCGGAAAGTCTTAGATTTAAACCACAAAAATTATTTCTTAACATAGTGTAACAATACTTTAGTATCATAATTAAGTAATACTTTAAATAAGGTAACTACAAAATACTAAAAATAATTATGTTCAAAACTGGAACTTTTAGCTAGTTTTCATAATTATAACTTGCTTGGTTTTGATGATGAAGAAAACAAAACTACACATGATTCTTCTTTGAAGAAGTGGTCTTACCTCTCCAATGTCAGCTCCTTTAATAATTATTTTAGCACCAAACTGTCTGCACATAGTAATTTTCATAATTGGTGCTATGATTGGCATGACAACAGTCACAGGGATACCTAGTTTTTGACCATGATAGCTCAGTGCTAAAGCATGGTTTCCAGCTGAAGCAGCAATTACTCCCTTCTGCTTGTGTTCCTGCAAGATACATAAAAGCTTATATGTAAAACATCTTTCAAATAAACAAATATATTCTCTTACTGTTAATTCTTAGAACAGATAATTTGATTAAATAAAAACATGTGTCTACATTTTCTCCTTTACCCCCTCCCCCTCCAAAAAAAAAACATGTTAACATTACAGGGTACAGATATTCTGCTAGACTCAAAAGTATTCTGTTTTATCATTTTAAAGCATGATAAAGATAAATATACCAGAAAGCCATTTGTTCCATCAAGATCACTTTTCCATCCACTAATAAAACCAACCAAAGCATCAAAATCACATTAAATGAAACCCTTCAAATCCATTTACCTATCCAACAATTGTCTTAAAATAATTAAAAGCATTCCACAAGTTTATAACATCAAGCTTCAGTCTTATTATCCCTAATATTTATATATAAGTTTGCATTTCTAACTTTTTTTATTCCACCACTCATAGTTAGATTCTCCAAATCTGTATTATAATAAAAGAATATATAATAATACCCTAACAGAAAACATATTTTTAAAAAAAAAAGCTTTATAAGATGATTTACTAACTCTTTGACTAACAGTTCATTTTTGTTTTAATTTCAAGTGTACTTACTGATGCCATCATCATCAACATGTATCGTGCTCCTCTTTCCTTAAAACTGAAATAATTTCAAATATTTAGAATATTAAATACAAATACTTTATCAATTAGATTTACATACTTCAGAACTCTAAGCACACACGCACTTCATATTGTAATGTATAAGAATGTTAAAAAAATCTATCCTATGCTCTAATAACTAATTCAATTACCAGGTGGACTCAAAGAGATAACTCTATCCTGACTGTTACAAAATACAAAAATATAGCATAATACAAATAACACAATTTAATTATGAATGTTTCTAGAAGTTGTAACTGTCTGTCATATTTTCTATATATTTTACAGATTGATTATGAGTAGTGCTGTTTTTAGGAGTTTTTTTGTAACTGGTAAAAAAATATTAAGTCACTTTGCTTATTTTAATATCAGTTACTGTGATATTTGATTAAACATTTAATTCTTTTTTTTTCATACTAACCTTCCTGTGTACTGAAGAAAATCTTTCTTGAAATATATATTGCAGCCCAAAGTAGAGGACATATGTGATTTCTTTATAAAAATAAAACACATAAATCATTATCCCTTTAACTGAAAAACGAAAATATCTCAACAATATTTTAAGACATTATTTGCTACCTAGTTGAAGTTTTTAAATTTCTAAGCACCTCCTTATGAATGTCGAATACAAACACACACATATATATATATACACTTTAATTATATGGCTTTAGACTGTAATATTCAAAATCGAAAACTTATTACCGTCATTCAAATAAATTAGTTAACAAAAACAAAATAAAGGATTATTAATGAAAATTCTTAAACAATCTTACCATACACAGTGTAGTTATAATTCCTCCTTTGATTGTATATGCTGCTGAACAAATATCCTGAAATTTGATTCGAACAGGATTAGCTGGATCACATACTGGATCGATACAATCTTCTTTAATATCCATACTGGCTACGATGGGTGTGGGTGATGGAGAGGATAACCCATCACTCTCATTATTACTCACACGTGGAGAACTACAGTTGACGTTATCAGCTGGCATCGTAGTAGTTTTCTCAGTATTATGTCTTATTGATGTATAAACTAGATTGAGGAATATCTTTACAACATGGTGATTATTAAATATTAATATTTGGAGGATAAAATTACCCAAAGAAAAACAATATAATTTGTTATTTAATTATTATTTAGTTCATTGAGTGATCCAATATTTAATGATTATTTAATTTTCATAACAAGAGTGTTAAATTTAATTATTTTAAAAGCGATAGTTATAACAAAGTTCGTTACGTAACTCAGTAAGAATCGTTCGTTTTGTGTACAGTTGAGTTGTTGTAAATTGACGTTACTCGAACCTTCCGTATGTTCCCGTTGCCTTAAGCAAGTATTGCTAAATCATAGCATCTCGTAGTTTGTAGAAAGTTCTAGGCCACAGTTGGGTGATATATATAAGTTAACAAGTTAGCAGAAGTTAAGCTAGTGAAAGTGAAGTTAGACTGAGTGATTTTTAGTTTAGACATTGTTAGAAACAGAATAGAGAAAAATAATTCGTCATGTCACTTGAGTTCTAAAGTAACTGAACCCGCCTGTGTGGACTTTAGACGTCAAAGGAGACAATTATTTAAAACTAGATACAACTGTAGTAACCAACAGTGATTTTGAAGTGAGTTTCACAGCTTATATTGTAACAACAGGGGCAGAGAAGAATGATTCGTCTCATCAATTGGGTTTTCAAGTAACTGAACCAGCCTGTGTGGACTTTTGACGTAAAAGAGAATTATTTAAAGCTCTGTATACAACTGTGGTAACCCACGGGGTAACGGGTAACGTATCACTAATTATATTGTGATAACAGAAGAAAAAAAAGAGAATTATTTAAAGCTTTAGATACAACTCTGATAACCAACAGTGTAACGAATGTTTGTACATATGTTTGATTTGTTTTGAATATATTATTTTTAAAAACAAGAGGATTGTGTGTTGTCCGTTTATTGTTCTAATTTATCGCCAACAAGTCACAGACACCTAACGTAGAAGAATCCCAGCCCACTTATACTAAAACCCTGGCAGTAGATAGTGGGAATGCACTCTCATATATTGTTTATATTAGGGGTCATCCAAGACAATTATAATACATTTTTGAACAACAAAAACATTATCATTACATTTTAAAATCAAATAATGGTCAGTTGTAGCTGAAGAATCCACTGCTTTTCGTTGTAGAATTAATCCACTATTATCAACATTATGGCAATAATATAAATTGTTTTTGACATGTTGTTTAAACCAATTATTGCTGTATATACAAGCATTTGATCGTGTGATTTCTCTTTTCCAACAACGTAAGCCACCTCACCTGTACAATAGAATCAGTTTTGTGGAGAAGCAGTTTGTAATAGTGTAACTATAAAAAGTAATAGAGCTATAACACACATATATAATACAAATATAGAGACAAGCGGCTAGTTAGATTATATAATTACTTTACTGTTACTAAATAATACTAATACATGACTATGGGAAACACTTTAGTATTATAAGTAGTGATTAAGATGAATAAAGCTTTCCACACGACACTTAATGAATTTGCTAGAAAACATCGAAGCTGAATACAAACTGCAGATAACTTTACACAGAAAGGCACAATAAATCGAAAAACTAACCAGCATACGGATGAAATTCCAAGTAAGATATCAATGACCGTCAGAAAGCGTGACGGATTATTTAACTTCTGAGATAAAAAATGACAATAATAGTAGCATAGCCTTATTCTAACACAAATTAATCAAGTGAAGCCCCGAGAACTTAAACTTATGTAGTATTATTTTAGATATTCATAGTTGAAGGAAAGTTTAAACTTTCTCAGGATATTCACTAATACTTAGTAGCTGAAGTAGGCCACTTCTCCACCAACTTCTCACTCAATCTGTTTCAAACACAGGAAAGTCAAGAGCCAGCACGGGCCCCTGGGCAAACATCCTCGCCGGGCCCCCTTTCTCTCTCTCTCTCTTTTAACATTTTCAAAAATTTATTAAAAAGAAGATCCTAAATTAGGACAGTAACGAGCTCATAAACCAGACAAAATCATAGCAGCAGCCGTTTTTACCTCACAGT